TGAGACTAGGTGACTCCTTGTTTTAGCACCTGGATCCATGAGGTTCTTGATCCTTCTGGACCACATTGTGCTAAAAGATAATAAAAATACAGTCTTTTTCATAAGGTGAGCAGTCTCTCAGCACAGGATTATTCCAGTTTCTGTTACATATACTATCTATTATATATAATTAAGTCCTTCTTTTGTGAACTTTTGAGAAAAGTGGAAGCAGGTTAATGTTTCGGAGCTTCAGTCAGTAACATGCAGGGCTTATTAAGAGGGATTTTACCCAACACACAACTGGTCAGGAACACTCAGGGTAAAGGACAGGTTTTACCTTATTCTAAAGGATTAGACACCAAATACCTGGAGATAATTTATCTAAATTAAAACAGTATCCTGCGGCCTCTTTCTCGGGTGGCTGCTGGTGTTTCTTGATCACAGTGATATCATCCATCAGACTAAGCAATGTATACAAAGTTATATTGGCAAGGACATTAGCAAGAGAGAAGACAGGGTGATGCAGGAGTGTAGGCATCACTTGCAAATTTGGGGCAAATTTGCCTAATTAATTAAAGACATTTGCAACTTCCTGGGCTTCTCAGAGATCTAACCCAAACTGTTTTGTGCAGTACACATATGAGCTACTGAAACTGTATACCAATGAAGCAAAGTGCTAGTCAAATGTAAAACTAACTGCCCAGAGGGCAGAACAATGTTCAGTATATTCTGGAAGATAAATAGCAAATGATGCTCAATGTCAATAAATGTAAAGTGACTGGAGAAAAAAAAATTCCTTAGTTATTACCACAATCACTGGCCCCAATCATACCCTTACCCCGCACAAAAGACATTTTAGAGTCCTTGGAGAAATTCTCCTGGAAACACTGTCTCTGTACTCATGAGCAGTCAAAGAGACAAGTAAAAGAATGAGAAACTTTGGGAAAGGAGAAACAATTGCACCGTTCTAAAAATCTACAATAGGAAGTGCATTTTAAATACCATGTTCAGTTTTGCTACCACCACTACCACACAAGCACGTAAAGAAACATAAGTAGAAAAGGTGAGAGATGAGTAACAGATAACCAGATGTGGATCAATCTCCATATCCAAAGAGAGACTAAGACAGACTATGAAAGTTAGAAAAGAATTGAAGGGAGTAAGTCAAAGGTCTATGAAAATTGAGAAAAGCACAGGGAAGGTAAAAGAAACAACTATTTGCTATTTCCCAGAAACAGAGAGGCATCAAACAGGCAGAAGATAAAAGAAAACAAACTGAAGTAACCTTACACATGCAGTATAATTAAAATGCAGAATTACCCCAGGTGTTACAAATTACAATAGTAATAATGAATTCAAAAATTAATTAAAAACATGAAATCCACAGAAGTCTATTGAACATGAAATTAAAATTACACATACATCCTGAATGTTCAGTAAATTCTAACAATTCTCAAGTACTGTAAAGAATATTTAAAGTTTAAAAAAAAAACCACTCTGAAATAAGGAACAGTGCTTTCATCATAATTTAACAGCAAATTAAAACAAACATAATATACTCCTAAATCCTTAAGATTTTAATTTTTAAATAGAGACAAAATTCTGTCTAAAAGTTATGTTTGTACCATAGATGGCTAGAACCAAAGTAACAGATGCATTACAGATGCCTAAAACAGGCCAACCCTCATACAACACTGACAGTCAGTTAGTTGGAAGTTAGGAAAAATATATGTAATATATACTGTAGGATACATTTTACATATATATACACAATATACATACATTATTTAATTTTGTGTATTCAGAATGCTTCCACTGTAAGAGCAGCTGGAAGTCAGCACACGCTTACTGAAACTTTAGTACAGGCCATAGGCCACGTCTGCCTTGCATGGTGCATTTATGTAGCCTGCAGAACAGACTCAAACTGAATGGGGAACACTTAGCTTTCTCCTTTTCTCAGAAAAACAAAAATCTAGCTTCACTGGTAACCTTAAAAAGTAAATTAATTAATGAAAATTCAAGTTTGTGTCTGAGCATGATGAAAGGCTAAAGCAAACTCAAAAGTTAAAATTTTCCAGGTCCTTGCCAATCTCATTAGAAAGTGCCCTTATAGATCAGGAACAGTCCCTCAGCATCAACATACAGTATGTTACTGTCAGTAATTTCAAAGGAAGAATATGAAAGAGTCAAAATTCTTAAAGAATGGAAGAAAGTGAAAACACAGTACAGAAGAAGTAGAAAGTAACACAAAAATTGAGATGAGTAATGAGAAATTAAAGCAGAAAGGAGATAATTTTCTTATTAAGAGATAGTATAACACTGAGACACAGAAAAGAAATAAAAGTTGACCTCCTAAGTTTAAAGAGTCATTTGCTCCCACTGCCATCCAACAGATCTATCCTTAATGTAAAAAAATATCTAGTATCAGCTGAAGGAAGCACAAAATCTTGAACTTAGGTATTGTGAATAATAATTACATTATAAATTATCAGTGAGGAATCTTGACCTTTTTCTTCGAACCATCACTTAGCCACAGGCAGACAGACATAGATGGACTGACTAACGATGGACTGATGAATCAGTAATACAGCAACTGCCAGGTCTGAACAGAGAAGTCACTTGAGTAAGACTGGTTAGGGCAGCAGGTGTTTGTGCTCCCTGGATTTTGTTGTCTGCAACAAAGTATTCAATTGTTGTAGTACAACTGTTGTTTTCTCTGAAGGGATGTGTGCCATCTGGGAGTGCAGGTCTGTCAGCACGATGGCAATAACAGCGTTCACTGATACACAGGGAGGTAGGTACTTCACCTGCAATCTCTCATTACAACATTTCCACCTCAAGTGACCTGCCCAGTAGGAATGGAAGTAACTGGTGTCCAGGCAAGGAGGAAAGAATATGCAGTGGACAAGGAAGAGATTTTCAACTTCGGTCAAGAGGGGGATAATGTGATACAGTGAAGCAGCCACAAAATAAGACTTGATCAATATCCAGCAGAAATGTATACACAGACTGATGCTGTTGCAGCAGTGGATTTCACCTCTTGAAAATTAAGATTTAGATAGTACAGAGTACCAGTAACAATAATAATTAACGATGTTATCACTAATAATAATCAGTAGTCTTATACACTAATATGACCTAGCACTTAAAAAAAAAAAAAAGACTGTGTGTTTAGATCAGACAATTCCGCCCCCCCCGCTGAAAAAAAAAGGAAGATTTCCAACCCTACTGCTGACAAAAGTCTTTCAATATTCAAGGCACACCCACTCATCCATTTATCAAAAAACTCCTTTCAAAGAACCTATAAAAGGTTTCATTAGCACCTAAAGAGCTCTCGTTCAATACCAGAAGAAAGAACAAGAGGGATGACACTGCCTAAGATTGTGCAAACCTCCAAGAAAAATGAAATACATCCAAAATTAAACATGTATAGCTCCAAGGAAAGAGAAGGAAGAACAAGAAAGCATAGACACTCAGCCATTTCAACCCTCCATTTACTGAGGACAGCCAGGGACATCCTATGGCTGCAACATCAAACTATAGGAGCACAGGCTTCTGGCAGGGATAATATACCTCACCCTTAATCACCAATCTATATTCAAGTGAACAAACAGAACCACATTAATGATATTTGCTGTCATCCAAGATGCACTGACTGAATCCAGTCTCCAGACTCCAAGTTCTGTCAGTAATGATGTTCTTCTCACCGGTTACTGACTTTTTCAACGCCTGGCATGCCCAGCTGAGGTATTATCTGCTTGAGAACGTGTCTGTACCATTAGTTCCACCAGGGTCGTAACCTCTGCAGTGCTACAAAGTACATCCCACACACTTACCAAAAAAGTTTCCAGATTTTAACAAGATAAGCTTAGTTTTTGCTTACCCGCTGACACCCGCGCTCTCTCTCGCATAGGGGTGCCCGCTCCAGAGAGCTGTAGACTAAAACACCTACGTGGAAATAATGGCCCACAGGCGACGACAGGTCCCGGCCGCTGCCCCGCAGCCTCCCGCCTTCCCCCGCCCTCGGCGGCTGCCAAGCGCCGGCAGCCGGGCGGGACCGACGGCCGCCGAGCTCCGCGCCCGCGGCGCAGCGCTGCGCTCGCCGGGCCCGCCGGCCGCGGGGCTGGGTGGGCGGCTGGCCCGGGCCCGCCGGTCGGGGCTCCCGGGAAGGCGGCGCCGCTCTCAGCCCGTCGAGAAGCGAAGGGAACCGGGCGGTCGGCCCGGCGACCGCGGCTGCACCCGAGGCCTGGCGGCCCCGGAGCCCCGCCGGGCACCCGCCGCCGCTTACCCCGGCACGCCCGCGGGCCGGGCCGCCCCGCCGCCGCCCTGCCCCTCACCTCGCCCCGCCGCCGGCCGCAGGGCCTGCGCCCTCCCCGCGCCCCGCGGGCTCCCCCCCGTCCGGGCTCGGACGGCGGCCCGCCCGCGCTCCGCAACTTCCCCGCGACGCCCGCGGGCAGGGATCGGGATCGTGCCCGGCCCGGCCCGGCGGCGCCTTCCCGCCTCCTCGCCCGCCGCTCCGGCACGCCGCCCGCCCGGCGTCAACTCACCCGGGGAGGCTCAGCGTCCCGCTCCCGCCGCCGCCGAGCCCGGCCCCCCGCTACGGCCCCCGGCGGGGCGGGCGGCGGCGCCTGTTGCTCCATCGCGCTCCGGCTCCTCCTCCTGAGGGGGCCGCGGCCGCCGCCGCCCCCCGCCGGGCCGATCCCGATCCCGCTCCGGCCCACGGCGCCACGTTCCGGGCCCGGCTCGGAGGGAACCGCACTGCCCCCGGCCCCGCCCCCGGGGCTGGGCTCCGCTCGGACCCCGGACACCCCCCGCCCGACGGCGCCAGGCCCGCTCCGCCGCGGCCCTGCGCCGGACGTCCTGCGGCTGGAGGCCGGCCCCCCCCCCGCCCGGGACAGGCCGCTGCGCCGTGCCCCGCGGCTGCCGGCGGTCCGGAGGGCGAGCCCGGCCTCCGCCGGGGCCGCACAGAAAGAGCAGGCAGCCCGCCTCTTCAGCTGACCCGCGGCGAACGCTTCCAAGCCCCATCGCCACGGAGAACGCCGCTCCAGTGCCACGAAGGTGGAAGACCATCGCCCAACGGCAGCCGCCGCCTCAGCAACAGCTGCTTGAGGGTAAGTGGGCTTCCACGCCGAGCGCCTGCAGCTCCCAGGCAGGTCAGTAATGGGCATCGCTCCTCAGCCTTTGCCTTCTCAGCGCGTTTGTACAACCAGCATCCTAACCGAAGCCTTTCAAAGGCTGTAGACCCATGCCTGTTGAAATGAACCCGGTAAACAGATTATGATGAAGACTCTCATGCTGTGAATAATACACAATGAAGAAATAATAGTTTACTGTGATACTGGGCCTAGATAGGAACAGGGGATGTAAGGGTTAATATGGGAATAGCAAGAAGGGGATGACGAGGGAAATAGTCGAGATAAGAGTTTGCCTAATGATTTGCTAGAAAGTAGATAGTTTGTATAACATGATGAGCCGAGGTATGGAGTCTCTAGGTTTTATCAGTACAAAGCCGGTTGGGACTAGACCTACGGTTTGGACAACAGCCAGTAAGTGACTGAGTCTGCGCGAAGCCTGGGGTCACAGAGCGGACAGGAGGAAGAGGAGCTTGACTTCATCCCCAAAGACCCAACGACCACCACCAGAAGGCACTGCGCAGACTCAATTGGGAGGAGATTTTGGAAATGCTAATTTTAATACGAAGCGGGGATAGGTAATGCATATGTATAGGCGTATTGCGAAATATTATGAATATGTAATCATTTGCTCTATAAATCTAAGGCAACGGTGCCATATCGGTGCACACAATAGGAGGAGCGATCCCCTGTGTGCCCAGCGCTGAATAAACACACCTACTTTACAATCTATCAGATTGTGGAGTCTGTTTTCCGCATGTCAGTTTTGGCGAGCCAGCCAGGAGACTCTCTGCTCGACTACGGGATCGACTGCGGGGCGGACTCTCCCAGGCGCGCCCCGAGCACTTTCCTCGGAGGAGCCTCCGCTACCAGCCGCTCACCATGGGAGCAGACAAGGACTTCCTGAAGCCACGGACTAAACAGTCTGTTCAAGGATAGGAGCCTGTAAGTCGTACGCGTGGCTGGGGCAGCTGGTAAATCGCACAGAGACGTCTGGCATGCAGCCAAGGCCCGGGTAGGTGCACCGAAAAGGCACGAATTCGTGCGGGTTAGGGGAGTCTAGGGGGCAATTATATCTTGCCACAGACCGATAGAGCGGTCGCTGGCTCCAATCGGGGACCTGTTGGCCGATAGGGCGCCCACAGGCAAGAGTGATTGAAAGGCCTTTGTTTTGTTGTGTTTTGTTTTAACTCCTGATGAAAGTGCTGTAAGTGTGTGGACGTCCGTGAGATTGTGAGATCGTGAGTGAATGCTGTGTGGTGATCGTGTTAGGTGTGAACGTTTGGAGTAAGTGTTTTACAAAAACAAGATGGGTAATACTCAGGGAGGGGTATTAAAAAAGAGCCCTCTCGGCTGTATACTCGCCCATTGGCGGGACATTGCAGGGAGCGGAGGCACGGAAAGCAAAAGGACTCTTGTAAAATATTGCAATCAGTGGTGGCCGCTGTATAAGCTAGAGGATGGCGCTAAATGGCCGCTTAATGGAACACTGGACTATAACACTTAGTTACAACTTATGTTGTTTTTAAGGAGATAAGGAAAATGGGATGAGGTATCATACGCGGATATGTTTTTCACTTTGAGGAATCACCCAGAGTGGCAAAGGGACTGTGGGTTAGTACCCCCACAGGACCCTATGGTGCTCGCACTTGAGCGAGAAAGTAAGGAAAGTAGGGGTAAGCTAAAGAGATGTTGCTGATCATGTAGCATTGGACAGAGATGTACGAAGGTAGATAAGGTTCACCAAACCTCAGAACAAGATGATGATTTGTTTAAACCTCCCCCCCGAACACAGGATCAGGATGCCGACTCGGAAGGAACGGCGGACTCTCCCGATAGTCCGGTATCCGCCCACACTAGACAAAAGACAGCAACAAGTATTTTACAGGCACCCCTTCGGGAAGCCGTGGGGCCGGAAGGTGGTACAATGTTGGTTAGGGTGCCCTTCACCACCGCTGATTTGGAAGCATGGAGGGGAATTGCGAAAAACTATAGACGCGATCCACATGATGTAGCTAAACACTTCCAATTTATTATAAAACAGCACAACCCGGATTGGAGTGATATACAGTTACTATTAGAATATATGACTGAAACAGAGAAACAATTGATTCTAAAAACAGCAGGAGACTTGGCGGAGGATCATTATAAGATTACCGGGGGAGACGTTAAGGAATATTTTCCCCTCCAAGACCCGAAATGGGAACCAAATAGATCGGCACATATGGAAAGGTTACGGGTGTATCAGGAATGGATTGCAAAGGGGATAGAAAGAGCGATCCCAAAAACTATAAATTGGTCAGCTTTATATGCAGTGAAACAGGGTCCTTCCGAGTCCCCATCCGAATTCTTGGATCGACTGAGAGATGTAATGCGCCGTAATACACCGTTGGATCCGGGATCAGAAGTAGGAATACAACAACTAGTTTCCTTGTTCATGGGCCAATCTACAGGAGACATAAGGCGAAAACTTCAGAAGTTGTGCCCTACGGAAAGTAGGAATCTGGAGGTATTGTTAGAGGAGGCGTGGAAAGTGTTTAGCAATAGGGAAGAAGAATGTCGACAAGGACAGATGAAGTTGATGGCCACTCTGGTTCAGAGACCAGCCAAGCAACAACCGCGGCTGGGGTGGGATCAGTGTGCTTTGTGCAAGGGTTTCAGGCATTGGAGAAAGGAATGTCCGAAGAATAGGAGGGAGAATGGGAAGGCTTCAATGAATGTAAAAATAGCAAATGTAACAGAGGACTGACGGGGACCTGGGGGATCTACCCTGGCGGATCCACTGGTTAAACTTAAGCTGGAGAGAGAACAAGAAGAAGTAGAATTTTTGGTAGACACGGGAGCAACGTACTCGGTTTTGAATCAAGCTTTAATACCACTAGGGGACGACTATGTTATGGTAAAGGGAGCGACCGGCCAATCTGAAAAGGCGTATTTTTGTAAACCTTTAGAGTATAAATTGGGAAAGCAATGGGGAATTCATAAATTCCTTTATATGCCTAACTCCCCAAAAGCTCTCCTGGGGAGGGACTTGCTGGAAGCAAAAATTACCTTTGAAAAAGGGGAAGTCACCTTGGAGGTAAAAGATCAGCAATACATTCAAGTGCTGAGTCTAACTCTAACTAGTTTTTTGTTAGGAGGAGAAATTAGCGAGGAAATTTTAAACCAAATATATCCGGGAGTTTGGGCTACCGATGTACCTGGAAGGGCGAAAAACGCTCTACCGATTGAGGTTAGGATCAAGGAAGGCCAACAACCGGTGAGAATTAAACAGTACCCTTTAAAAAGGGAAGATAGGGAAGGAATCCGACCAGTAATAGAAAAATTTTTGCAATTAGGGTTACTAGAGGAGTGTGAGTCTGAGTTCAATACCCCTATACTGCCCGTTCGGAAACCTGATGGGTCATATAGGGTGGTTCAGGACCTACAGGCTGTGAATAGAATAGTTGAAGATCTCCACCCAGTGGTAGCAAACCCATATACCCTGTTAACTGTATTAACACCAGAGTTGATTTGGTTTACTGTCTTAGATTTGAAGGACGCCTTCTTTTGCCTTCCTCTCCATAAAGCCAACCAAAAGTTGTTTGCATTCGAATGGGAAAATCCTAAAACTGGTCGAAAGACCCAGCTCACCTGGACGGTGTTGCCACAAGGATTCAAGAATAGCCCTACTCTTTTTGGCAACCAGCTTGCAAAGGACTTGGAATCCTGGGAAGCCCCATCCGAAAAAGGAAAATTATTGCAGTACGTGGACGACATTTTGATCGCTACCGAGACAGAAGAGGACTGTGCAACGTGGACGGTGAGCTTGTTAAATTTTTTGGGACTACAGGGGTATCAGGTCTCTAAGAAGAAAGCCCAGGTGATACAACGCAAAGTAAACTATCTGGGCTATGAGATCACTGCAGGGCAAAGAACTTTGGGACAGTCCCGTAAGGAGGCCATATGTCAAACCCCGAAACCCCAGACAGTAAAAGAATTAAGGACCTTCTTGGGAATGACGGGGTGGTGCAGGCTATGGATATATAATTATGGACTGCTTGTTAAGCCCCTGTATGCGCTAACAACCACCGAACAGACGCACCTCGAATGGGATGAGGAGGCTGAGCAAGCCTTCGATTTGCTGAAGAAGGCTTTGATGTCAGCCCCGGCTCTAGGACTCCCAGATGTGAGTAAACCACTTCTTCTCTTTTCTCATGAGAAGCAGGGCATTGCCCTGGGAATACTGGCACAAGACCTAGGTCCATACCGACGAGCTGTCACCTACCTCTCTAAACAACTAGATGCGACTGCAAAAGGGTGGCCTGGGTGTCTGCGAGCGGTTGCTGCCCTGATACTGAACATACAGGAAGCTCGGAAGTTCACTCTGGGCCAGAAAATGACTGCCTATGTGTCCCATACAGTATTGGCAGTCCTGGAAGCAAAGGGAGGGCATTGGCTCTCTCCATAAAGATTTCTGAAATACCAAGCTGCACTAGTAGAACAAGATGATGTACAGATAGTAGTCACTAATATTGTCAACCCAGCTTCCTTCCTCAGCGGTAACATGGGGGAACTAGTGCACCATGACTGCTTGGAAACAATTGAGGCGACATACTCAAGTCGCCCTGACCTGAAGGAAAGCCCCATGAAGGATGAGGAGAGCTGGTTCACGGACGGAAGCAGTTACGTCCTGAACGGTAATCAACACGCGGGGTATGCCGTTACCACCAGTCAAAAGGTAATAGAATCAGGACCTCTGCCTGCAAATACTTCTGCACAAAAGGCAGAAATAATCGCTTTAACTCGAGCCCTGGAACTAGCCAAGGGTAAGATCATAAACATATACACGGACTCCAAATACGCTTTCGGAGTTGTGCATGCACATGGAGCAATCTGGAAAGAAAGAGGACTATTGAACTCCCAAGGGAAAAACATCAAACATGCGGAGGAAATTTTTAAACTATTAGAAGCTGTTCAACTTCCTGAGAAGGTGGCGATTATGCATACTAAAGCACACCAAAAGGCGAGCTCTGAATTGGAAAAAGGAAACGAGCTGGCGGATAGAGAGGCAAAACGGGTTGCCAAAATAGAGATAAAGACGGAAGGAGCACTTATTCCTGATAGGCAAATTTCCCTGGAAAGTAAACCAGAATATACCAGGGAGGATCAGAAACATATTGCAGATTTGGAGGGGACATATAACAAGGAAGGGTGGGCTTATACCCCACAGGGAAAGTTAGTTATCCCCTCTCGTTTACTATGGCATTTCACATGAGAGGGGCATAGGAAGAGACACTGGGGAGCAGAAGCTTTGTATAGTCACTTGATAAAAGAGATTGTAGCCAGAAATTTGTATACCACGGTAAGGCAGGTGACTCGACAATGCGACATCTGCCTCCGGACTAATCCCAAGAATGCCCCCAAACTAGAAATGGGCCAGATTGGGAAGGGCAACGGGCCTGGGCAACAATGGCAAGTAGATTTTACAGAATTACCAAGGAAAGGGGGGTATCGATATTTGTTGGTACTGACTGATACCTTTTCAGGCTGGCCAGAAGCATTCCCTACTAGAACAGCTAAGGCTCGGGAAGTAACTAAAGTACTGATACAAGAAATAATACCACGATTTGGGATTCCGGCAATCATATCCTCAGATAGAGGACCACACTTTGTCTCAAAAATAGTACAACAAATTAGCCACCATTTGGGTATAGATTGGCAGCTTCATACCCCGTACTGCCCTCAGTCGAGCGGTCAAGTGGAGAAGATGAACCACTTAATCAAACAGCAAATTGTAAAATTGGGGCAAGAAGCAAACCTGACATGGCCTCAGTCCCTTCCCTTGGCCCTTTTACGCATACGGACAAGGCCAAGGGCAAGGGAAGGGCTAAGCCCCTTTGAAATTTTATATGGACAACCCTACGGGGTACAGAGAGGAATATCTACACAAATTGGAGATGAAATTATGAGCTCCTACATGGTGGCATTAGGGAAACAGCTCAATAAAATCAGAAAACATGTAACTGGTACTCGAGGGAGAGGTCTGGATGGACCTATTCATGATATACAACCTGGAGATTACGTGTATGTAAAATCTCTTACAGAAAAGAATCTGGAGCCACAGTGGGAGGGACCATACCAAGTACTTCTCACTTCTTTTACGGCAGTTAAGATCAAAGAACACAACTCCTGGATTCACCATACTCGGATCAAGAAGGCCCCTACAACTTCCTGGAAGGCAATAGCAGGTGATAATGAACTAAAACTGAAGCTCACACGAGTAAAATGAGCACATTGGGGTCAAGAATATTTAATAACCCAGCTTTTAGAAAGTCAGTTGAGAAAATTATTTTTGTGATCATAATTATAAACCAAAGATTGGAAAGGGCTGAAAGTGCTGAGTGGCCTTGGTCCGAAGCCCTGACAACTGAGGATAGAAACATTACTGGTAAATTGGCGGTTATAGTCCTGTGGCGAACAGATGCTGACTATCCATATATGTTACCAAAATGGGAGAAATTGGAAAAAGAGTGGATACTCAAAAGAATCATAGGAGATGAAATTAAAATAGGGTGTCAAATGATTAATGGAACAACCCACGAAAAGGTAACTGGAATTCTGATAGAATCAACCTCCGAGGGTGGCCATCGAGAGGGATGTGTCCGCCCAGGTAAATTAGATTGTTGGTATGATTTTATGTTAACACAGACTGTTGTGGTCAGTTGTTTCTGGGCTAATAATGGCCAAGAGCTTAAAATAGAAGGAGGCCTTATGATAAATTTTAAGATACACGCCGTACCTCCTACGACCAGGGGGCCCCTTACAACTCAAACAACTCAACCCCGAACAAAACCGGAACCCAAGATTTATGAAATTGGCCCATATATGATTAGGAATGTGGGTCAACAACAATTACTGTTTAACCCAGAATGGTCTCTTAAGCATGTCGAATTGATAATACAGACTAATATCTCAGAAATCCAACCAGCCTGTCTTTCTTTCTTAAGAACATCTTTCAAGGGCTGGACGATGTGGTCACAAAAACAAACGCACCTTAGGAGCAGAATGAAAAGAGATTTAACTGGGGTATTAAGAACAGGATCGGGAGTTTTGAATGGAATCGATTCAGAAGTATTAATGAACAAGTTGGCCACTGCAACAAGTGATTTAACAAGGCTAAGGCAGCCTCTACAGTCATCTTTATTGGCATTGGGAACTAGTCAATGGCAAGTCTCAAAAGTATTGCCAAGTTGGGAAAAGGATGAGGACCAAGACCACAGACTAATACTAGATGCACTTAGTATGGTTAAGGATAATGTGTCTTTAGCTTTTAGTTGTATACAAGCACAGTTATGGATGCAGGCAACCGCTGCCTTGATTATAAGGGAAGGGAATGAAGGAATTTTTCCAGTTGAAATCCGAAAGGCTGTTTGGGACAAAGCCACCAATTTTGAAAGGAGATTCCAATCTTGGTGGACTATGGTGAATTTTACCTATGACCCCACTACTAACATGGCTACTGCCTTTGTGCTCACTATACGTAATGCCACAGTTTATGTAATCCATCCCATCATTGCATTAGGGTTGAATCATGAGGAAACAGTGCTCTATCCTTCAGAACATAGAGCATGGGCCCGGAAGGTGAATGAGAAATGGCAGACTGTAAACGTGGAATCTTGTATTACCCGAGAACAACAGGGGTTCATCTGTGAAAGTAATACAATTGATGCCCAAGACGTATGCCTTGACACTGAGCAAAGTATCTGCCACTTCGAAATTCACCCAGATAATAGTAAGAAAACCGTGATTGTATATACTGGTCAAGGCTGTATATGTTTAAGAACCGCTTGCGTATTCGTAGAGATAGATCATGACAATGTAACTTTGCCTATTGGGAATCATTCTAATTTCTGTATTTGTAACTTTGCTAAGATCATTGGGTGTGACTTTGTATATTGGGCACCAGTGGTTTCTCACCAGCTGATAAAATCTAAAATCACAGGGTATCTCGAGTTATCACCTACACCTATTGGAATGAACCTTACATTAGTAAGGCAATTAATTAAACACCAAGACCTGTTAGGGATCTTAAGAGAAATTCAGAGAAACGGAGAGAAAACTTTAGTCACTGTTCACCATGATACAAAAGAAATAAACAGGGTTTTGCAAAGAACAAAACAAGATGCAAGTCATAACTGGTGGGATACTCTTTTCGGCTGGTCGCCTTCTGCAGCAGGGATCCTTAACACTATGATACACCCCATTGTGATCCTACTAGGTAGTTTAGGAATTTTATTAGTATTAACCATCATGTTATATTTATGGGTCTGGAGAATGTTTAAAAGGATAACTGCTATGCATGAGGCTTTATACTATTCAGGAAAATTGCTGAAGTAAAAGAATTTACTTAGTATGATAAGAAAAGGGGGGATTGATACAGGGCCTAGATAGGAACAGGGGATGTAAGGGTTAATATGGGAATAGCAAGAAAGGGATGAGGAGGGAAATAGTCGAGATAAGAGTTTGCCTAATGATTTGCTAGAAAGTAGATAGTTTGTATAACATGATGAGCCGAGGTATGGAGTCTCTAGGTTTTATCAGTACAAAGCCGGTTGGGACTAGACCTACGGTTTGGACAACAGCCAGTAAGTGACTGAGTCTGCGCGAAGCCTGGGGTCACAGAGCGGACAGGAGGAAGAGGAGCTTGACTTCATCCCCAAAGACCCAACGACCACCACCAGAAGGCACTGCGCAGACTCAATTGGGAGGAGATTTTGGAAATGCTAATTTTAATACGAAGCGGGGATAGGTAATGCATATGTATAGGCGTATTGCGAAATATTATGAATATGTAATCATTTGCTCTATAAATCTAAGGCAACGGTGCCATATCGGTGCACGCAATAGGAGGAGCGATCCCCTGTGTGCCCAGCGCTGAATAAACACACCTACTTTACAATCTATCAGATTGTGGAGTCTGTTTTCCGCACGTCAGTTGTCTAAGTGAAAACTGGATGCCGCTTTACCTGAGGGGAATTTAATAACACCTCCCAAGTTTAGTCTTTCATGGAAAAACTGTAGGAGTCTGAAACTTCAGAAAGCTTTCTGCAATAAAATGGTGAACATGTGGCAATCGGCTCAAAGGTTTGACTTCAAATAGTGAGATCAAAATTAAGATTTCATTAGAAAGCAAGTCTTAATCAGGACCCAGGGAAAGTATTCAAGCAAAGCAGTTAATAAAAATAATCTAGCAATAGTGGGATGTAAAAAAGATGGAGGAAGAAATTATAGAAGTTTTCCATTTCTGCCTAAAGACCAATTATACTTAATCTACTGTGTAAGTAGTAGCTAGTGAATTGTCTTCTCATCTGTAGTGATGCAGATCGTTTTAAAATCACTGGTAACCAAATCCCAAAGGTATCAGCATTTGCAGTAACACCAGATCACAAACCTAGCCCAAACACACCCAAATCCTTTAAGATTCTTTTATTTAGCAAATGGCAGCTGAGTATGCCCTTTTACTTCAGATGAGCTACAGCCAGTACTAGAACTCTTTGAGGATGTGCCAATCAGTCACCTGGGTGCACCAGAAAGGGAATGTCATTAGAGGATAGACATGCTTTTCTTCTGTTTTACCACCCCTGTGTATCTGGAGTAGATTTGAACCAGTGGTATTTTTTTTCATCCAGATGCCCATGGATGTTCCTCCATCTGGTTCATTAAGAAAAATATGAATGTACAATAACTGACACTTTATCATTAGCAATGGATAATATCAAATATCTCAAACCACACAAGATCTCTGTGATAGGCATATATGGGAAAACCTGACTCATTAATATCTTAATTCTTACCTGACACTGGTTTATGTCATAACAAACTTATTCTTTCCAGATCAATTTACAGTAAGTGCCTTTAACCAGAAGATGCATGTTTTAGAACAAAGTTACTAAATTACTCCCTATTAGTCAATAATGGAATTAATATCCTTTAGTAAGAGGCACACAATCCAAAATTTTAACAGACAAGCAAATTAAAAATGGTTTATCTCTCAGTTCAATACCTAGTTCTTCTCTGGCGAGAACTTCCTTACATCACTTGTTAGCATGTTTCCTCTTACTCAGTCCATCCTAAAGGAAATAAAGATAGTACACACTCTTCAAAAACAGACTGGTTAGAAACTACATGCAGATGATAACTTTTCCTTTGAAAGCCTATCAACCACTTCACAGATCACAACAGTGTTGAGTCTGCCAGACCAGTATTTAGCTTTATCTGAAGTCCAGAGCATCTCAAGCTCCATCAGTAGTTTTACATCAAATCTGAATATTATAAGTGTCCTCAGAAGTCTGTGAGCAGCATTTATGTCAGGTAATACAATACTGTGTCTCAGGCAAAAGCTCAGCAAACTTCGTATTCTTTTTTCATCTCTGAGGACCTAGCATTATTTCCACACCAAGCTAGAAACTGGAACAGAAGAAAGAGTGTAGGTGGTGATGAAGCTAGCCTAAAAATTTTTAGTAACTTAGTTTGCTGTTTTTTCTGATATTCTCCTTGAGTCAGACAGCTGGATGAAATGGAATATGGCTATTTGTATATATTCTCATGCATACACAGCAGTCACTTCAGTCTCACAAAGTTATTTTTATTTAGCAATTGTATCTTCAACAGTTATTCCATTATTAAGATTTTTCTAAAATAAAAATTCTGCTTTCCGTAAAAAAAAAAAAAAGCTATAGTTAACAAAAGTCACTTTCTCTTTCTTTTCACCTCATTTTCTGAAATGTAGAAGGAACAGCACGCTTAGAAGGGCCAGATTCTTCCTCATTTTCATGGAGACGCTTTCTTGTTGTGGTTGGCTAAAAGATACAGCAGGATGGCTACGTGAAAACAGGTAAGACGGAGCCTGTTTGGCTTGCTACAGAATTACAGATGTTCGATAAAGTCTCCTTTCCGTGTCCAAAAAAGCAGCATGACTAACAAATGTTTCTGTACCAAGATTTATCTAACTATATTCGATAATTCTCACATAAGACACTCCCCCCAGCTTTATCTTCCACTACTGTTTAAAATTCTCCTAATTAGCATCTGGTAATGAATGTCACGATACCATTCTAAAATTTCACTAACATGAGAATTTCTCCTTGACTACTAAACATTTATGACTTGAATCCATCGAAACATACATGTGCAACAAGTTCATTTTAAATATATGAATAATCATTTAAAGCCTAGGAGACTGTTTCTATACATTTAAACAAAGTATCTTGCCAAAGCACAAAAGTCCATTGCTTCTATTCAGAAAGCAGAAATAAGTAGCAGCCTACTACATACAGCCAAATTGCACACTGTTTTAAGTTCTCAAAATGAATTGATTTTCTTAACATTGATTACTTCAAAAATCTAGTTTCTCTGTGCATCAGGAATTAATCTTAAAATAATCTGTCACACATACCATTTTTGATGTTTGTGGTGGATTCATATTGGCATGTGTCTGAGCAAGTACCTGTTGAAATGTACTCTTCATATCTTCATCCTGTGAAAAAAAGCAGTAACTCTAAGCAGTATATGGAATATTTAAGGAAAAAGCCTACATTTTGGCTAATGAAATGGATCAGCAATTAAGGAATGAATAAATGAAGGAGAAAAGGAGGTTCCCCCACTTCCCCCCAAATAAACACGTTCCTAATATGGCTTCAATACACACAAGAATTGCCTGGTCAAACTAGTGGCCTTCTATGATGGAGTGACTACATCAGTGGACAAGGGAAGGGAAGAACTACAGATGTTGTCTACCTGGAACTCTGTAATGCCTTTGACAGGGTCCCCCACAACATCCTTCTCTTTAAATTGGAAAGATATGGATTTGATGGATGAACTATTCAATGGATAAGGAATTGGCTGGATGGCTGCATCCAGAAAGCAGTGGTCAATGACTCGATGTCTGGATAGAGATCAGGTGGCGTCCCTCAGGGGCCCAAACTGGGACCAGTATTGTTTACTATCTTATCAATGACATAGGCAGCAGGATTGAGTGCACCCTCAAGAATTGTGCAGATGACACCAAGCTGAGTGGTGCAGCTGACACACCTGAGGGATGCGATGTTACTCGGAGGGACCTGGACAAGCTCGAGAAGTGGGCCCATGTGAGGTTCAACAAGGCCACGTGCAAGGTCCTGCCCATGGGTCAGGGCAACCCCTGGTATCAATGTAGGGTGGGTGATGAGTAGATCGAGAGCAGCCCTGTGGAGGAGGACTTGGGGGTACTGGTGGATGAAAAGCTGGACATGAGTTGGTAATGCATGCCTGCAGCCCAGAAAGCTAACCGTATCCTGGGTCACACCAAAAGAAGCATGGCCAGCAGGTCAATAGAGGGAATTCTCCCCCCCTACTCCACTCTTGTGAGACCTCAACTGCAGCGCTCTGACCAGCTCGGGGGCCCCCAACATCAGGACATGGAGCTGCTTGAGCAGGTCCAGAGGAGGCCACAAAGATGACTGAGGGGCTGGAGCAGCTCCCCTGGGAGGCCGGGCTGAGAGAGTTGGGGGGTTCAGCCTGGAGAAGAGAAGGCTCTGGGCAGACCTTATTGCTGCCTTTCAGTTCTTAAAGGGGGCTTATAAGAAAGATGGGGGCAGACTTTTTAATAGGGCCTGTAGCGATAGGACAAAGGGTAATGGTTTTCAACTGAAAGAAGATAGATTCAGACTAGACACAAGGAAGAAAGTTTTTACCATGAGGGTGGTGAGGCACTGGAACAGGTTGACCAGAAAGACTGTAGATGCTCCCTCCCTGGAAGTGCTCAAGGCCGGGATGGATGGGGCTTTGAGCAACCTGATCTAGTGGAAGGTGTCCCTGCCCATGGCAGGGGGGTTGGACTAGATGGCCTTTAAAGGTCCCTTCCAACCCAAACCATTCTATGATTCTAATATGCCCCACAATAGGATTTTGAGCTTTATGTACAGTGCTGGTGAGAAATAATAGTTCTATTTTATTCTACAAAGAAACAGTTTCCCCTCAATAACCACACAGCTAATACTGGTCAAGCTAAAACTGAACTTACAGTATCATTCAACAAAGTATAACAAAATTGAAAGAAAAGAACATACAGGCTAGGAGTTTGTGCAGCTTGCTTTCACCAGAACAGAGTTAATACCTCTTGAAAAACAAGTGTTTTCCTTCTAGTCTTACATTCCGTTCTCCTAATGACTTCCCTTTCTAACTGCATATTTTCATTTCCACTAGCTGAGCTGCATCAGTATATAAAATTTGTGTAGTTTTCATTACCACCCCTGCAAAGCAAACCTGTTGTACACAGTAGGTAGAGCTAGCTAAAACACCCGTGCCCTAAAAAACAAACAAACAAAAAATCAAAAACAAGCACAAAAAAAAACCCAACAAAAACAAAACAAAAACTACACACTGAACTTTCAAACAAAACATCTTAAAAAGCATCCCAGTTACCTTAAGATACATAAGTCCATAGAACATATTAAAGGCTGTAAATGGAAACATTTGGAAAGCAAATATTCAGCATTTGGGCAAGAATTTCACTGAAGTGAAGTTTCCCTTTTGAAAACCCAGATGATTATCAACAAATATTATACTATTCAGAGAGCATTCATATCTGTACAGAAGTTGACTGGATAGTACAGTTCATTTTCTAGATACCCAAAGTGGTAAGGCAGAAGCTGCGATCAGTGGAGGGAAAGTGTCCGGGAGAGATGCACTGTGAAAGAAGTGGACTTATTAGTCTCAATCATGCACAAACAGGCCCAGCTGCAGAAGCATTAAGAGGAGGGAACGACAGCACAGGAGAGGGAAGGGCAGCAGAGATCCTTTGTTAAGAGAAGCTAGTTTAGCACAAAGTCAGGTGTGTTTCAAGAGAAAAAGCTAGCATGTAACCTCATTCTGGTTCAGCTGCCAGTGACCAGAGTGCTCTTGGTATATGCTGGGCAACCTCAGG